CAGATAAGGATGTCCTCTGTCACCACTGCTATTCTGTCCTAGCCAATGCAGTCAGACAAGGGAAGATTATCTGGGATATCCAAAGGAGAATAGAGTTGATTCAGGCAAGTCAACTATTGCTTGTTACTGACATCATGATCTTATACCTAGAAAACCCCAAGGACTCTACTGTGAGACTCCTGGAAGTAATCAAGAAATACAGCAATATAGAAGGTTATAAATCAATGTACCCAAATCAGTAGCCTTCATATACATCATCAACAGTCAAGCTGAGAGTCAAATCAAAGACAGCACCTTTCACGGTATCATCAAAGAAAATGAAATACCTTGGAATATAACAAAGGATGTGAAAGACTCTTTGGAGAAAACTAAAAAACACTTAGAAAAGAAATAACAGAGGATGTTAACAGGTAGAAGACAGTACCATGCTCATGACTTGGTAAAAACATTGCTAAAATGTCTATACTGTCCAAAGCAATCTGCAGATTTGATGCAGTCCTCTTTAAAATATCAACATCATACAATATAGATCTTTAAAAACTAGTTTTATGTTTTGTATGGAACCAGAATAAAAATCCCAAGTAGCCAATGAAATTCTGTGAAATAAGAACAAATCTAGAAGCGTCACTTTATGAGACTTCAAGGATTACTACAAGTCTATCATGATCAAAACAGCCTGGTACTGGTATAAAAAGAGACATAGATTTATGAAACAAAACAAAGACTGTAGAGACAAAACCAGTCTCATGTTGCCATCTGATCTTTGACAAAGCAAACAAAAGTGTGCACTGAGGAAAAGAATTCCTATTCAATAAATTGTGCTGGGAGAACTGGTTAGCCACATGTAAAAGATTAAAACTGAACCTGCATTTCTAACCACTTAAAATAATTAACTCATGGTGGATAAAATATTTAAACCTAGGACATGAAATCATAAAGCCCTAGAAGAAAAAAGAATATGGGAAGAAATCTTACTGGCCTAGGGAAAGAATTTGTGAATTCTGGTTATCACATCAACAAAAAAATACCATGGAACCTGATTAAGTTAAAAAGCTACTGCATAACTAAGGACACAGTTAACAAAGAGGCACCCTTCAAAATGAGAGAAATTTGCATGATACGAGTCTGAAAAATGGTAGATAACCGGGATCTAAAAAGAATTCAAGCAAATCAGTGAAAAAAGGTCAGTAAACCTTGAAAATTAGATAAAAAACATGAATAGAAACTTTTCTCATGAGGAGAGATGAATGACCAACAAACATCCAAAAAATTGCTCATTGTCCCTAATTATCAGGAAAATGAAAATCTAAACCACTTTGAGATACCACATAATCTCTCTGAGGATGGTGCATGTCACAAGGTCCCAAAGCAATAGATGCTAGTGTGGGTACAAAGAGAAGGGAACTCTCATACACTGTTGGTGAGACTGCAAACTAATACAGCCTCTGTGGAAGTAAGGAGAATCCACTAAAAGTAGACCTACCAATGGATCCCACAATCCTATTACTAGGTATCTACCCCAAAGAAAAAATGTCATTTTACCGTAAGGACCTTGGTACTTGAATGTTTGTTACAGAACAGTTTACAATTCCAAAGATGTAGAAACTGCTTACTTTGGCAGCACATGTACAAAGATGTAGAAACAAGCCGGATGCCCTTCAACCCATGAATGGATTAATAAATGTGGTATATGTATACCACGTAATATTATTCAACGATAAAAAGATGGAAATTTTGTTTCTTAACAACCTAGCTGGACTTGGAGAATATTCTTCTAAGCAAAGTATCACAAGAATGGAAAAATAAATACCACACGTACTAAGTACTTAATTAGAACCAATAGCTAATTAACTACATGCTCACATGAGAGAAAAATTAAGAGGGGTATAAGGTTGAGTAAATTCTGACCCAACAACTATGTTACGTGGGTATCTTGCACACTTTCTGGGTGAAGGGAACAACTACAGCCTGGACTTTAATCTTACAAAAGTAAACTATTTTGTCTAGTCATATTACTGAAGTTTAAAAAAAAAAAAGAGTACACCTTACAATCGAATTGTGTTCGGTCGAGGGATGGTTCCTGCCTTGTGCTTTGAGATACCTGGATAGGCCATTCTTGACCCTAAACTGGAAAAAGTGTGCTGGAAAATGAATGAATAAAACAAATTACTGTAAATAAAAGTTCATTAAGTATATGACAGTCATAGAAATGCATCACAATAAATAATGCATTATGAAAGCACTCAGTGAGCTGTCATATTTGTGATTGTTTTTGAACTGCATGGTGATATGAAGTGCCATATTTTGCAGTGTGTGATGTGCATATTTTGCCGAAATTTTTGAGGGAAAAATAAGGATGCGTATTATATATGGGCAGTACTAATTCTGTATCTAAATAAATTTCTTGAATTCTTTTATGTTTACACCTTTAATATGTAACTCTAGAAAGCAATAATAATATCTGTATGCAAAGTAATATCCTTGAATATGATAATTGGTGGTGGTGAACTTACAACAAACTTGCAACAAGCATTTTCAGCCAGGGAAAAGTGACTGTGTTTCTCTTAGGCAGAAGCTGGCAATCTAGCTGATATTTTTTACCAAAAGTATTGGAAATCCCTTAGAAAATGTTGAAGTGGTTTTTGTACACTGTATAAGTTTTGAATTTGAATTAAAAAACAAAAGATGTTTTTTTTCCTGAAAGTTTGGGCAAAAAATGTGGGTGCATATCAGACACATCAAAGTAAAATACTCCTTAAGTTTTCATTTTGTAAATTTTAATTCCTTGATTTAACCCACTTATCACTATGACTGTCAACACTCTGTGATTTCATCAAAAATTGAGTAATTATTGTACTAATTCTATCAGTCTTTCTTAAATGTAGGTATAGCTCACATTTATTTCAGTGTTAGGGTCTTTACATAGAATTTTGGTGATATTTTTGTGACCAGAAATACGAGGTCAGTCAGTTAAACTTGTGAATTCATCCTAGAAAAAAATGCTACATACCTCATTGCTGAATATCACTACAGTTACCAGCTGGCCAAGGGGAGTGAGTACTTTGAAGGTGACTGAAGTGATATTCAGCAAAGGGGTACATAGCACTTTTTCTAGGATGAGTTTACAAACTTAATTTTTTGACCTTGGACAACAATAGCCCTGATAGCCATTCCATAAAAAGAATTCCAGAATTGCTTTGAAGAGTGGACTAGGCACTGGCATCAGTGCATAGCTTCCCAAGGTGCTATAGCTTCCCAGCGCATAGCTTCCCAAAGGTGATTGCAGTGGTATTCAGCAGTGAGGTATGTAGCACTTTTTCTGGGATAAGTTTGCAAACTTGATTGTCCCACCTCCTACACCATAAGACCTTAACTCTAATTTATATCTGTTAGCTATGGTAAGGTTGGTTTTGTTGTATGTTGTTTCACTTAAAGTCACAGTTTCCAAGAACCTTATCAACAATGTTAAACAAGGACTTACTATATTTTAAGAGAATGTTGGTTGATAGTATATCAAAATAAGAGTCACTGATGGTTTAAAGTCAGACAAATGTTTTGGTAGAACTTAAAGAAAATTAAAAGGCTGCCATAATGTGCCTTTCAACTATCCTGCTTTTATTAGCATATATAGAGGGGATTATACAGCGTCTCCTGTCTATAATCAGTGACCAGGACTTACCAAATTTATCTCCAATGTGTACTTTAGATGGGCTGTAGGATGATCCGTGTTCTCATGCTACCTATTCTAAGCAGCCATCATGCTTGGGCTAGGTTTTCTGCCTCAGTTTCTTCACCTATGTGATGGAATACCTCTGTGGGGTTGTCATGGGAATTAAGCAAATTCAAACAAAATACTGAGAACATAGCTGAGCTCATAGTAAGCATTCACTTTCATGCCTCTCTCTTAATCTTTTTTCTTCATTTTTACTTTGTAATGCATCTGGTCCCTCCATAGGGCAGAACTGTTAGGACCTTAGTTCATCTTCCCCTTATCTGAACACCACTGGGTCTTGATTTTGGCATTCCATATGCTGCCTTTCATTGTTTCTTTACTCTCACTCTCCTTTACCAAGAGAAGAAATTTTTTTCTTCCTTTGTTACAAACTTTAACATGTATGTATCTGTAAGTGTATGTGTGCACCTGCCCAAGGATAGGTGGTTTTTATTATGGTAAGTACAATGTATTATAGTAATTTATTTGCCTGTCTCTCTCTCTCTTGAGCTTTCTGATGGCAAGACAGTCTTATTCATCTTTGTCAATGTAGTCAAGGGTGTCTAAACTATGGCCCATGGGCCACATGTAGGTCATTTGAGGCCTGTTTTGCTTATCTGTGGTGTTGCATACCATGACAATTATGCATGGATCCTTTTATTCCTCATCAGCTTTTGTTAGTGTTTGTGTTTTTAATGTGTGGTCCAAGACAACTCTTCTTCCAGTGTGCAGGAAAAAAAAAAAGGATTGGACACCCTTGATAGTCCATGAAACAGGTTATCTTTTTTCTTTTCTTTTCTTTTCTTTTTTGAGCCAGAGTCTCAAAAAATCTGGGGTTGAGTGCTATGGTATCATAGCTCACAGCAACTCTTGGGGTCAAGCGAATCTCTTGCCTTAGCCTCTTGAGTAGCTGGGACTACATGTGCTCACCACAGTGCTCACCTATTTTTAGAGGAGGGATCTCATTCTAGCTTAGGCTGGTCTCAAATTTGTAAGCTCAGGCGATTCACCCACCTTGGCCTAGGCTTAAGCCACAACACCTGCCCAAAACAGGTCATCATTAAGTGACTACTGATTTAGTACTCTTTGGGATTTTTATCTTGCTGTTTAGCTTGTATAATGGAAATTATCATAATATACTACATTGCATCCTCATAGTACTTGACACAGTATTATATGATCAGCAAATAAGTTATTTGTGATAGAACTAATAAATGTGTTTGTAAATTAGAAGTTATTAGATGTCTTTCTCAATAAACATTGATAGCTATTTGTCTCTCTCATTTAGGTTCAACAGTATTTGTCAACAGTATTGAAAATGGAATGTGGTGTCGAGGAACTATCACTGAATTAATTCCAATAGAAAGTAAAAATACCAGAAAACCTTGTAGTCCAACCAAATTTTCAATCCGTGAAGTTGCATTGATACAAATATTCATGGTAGATTTTGGAAATTCAGAAGTCCTAATTGTCGCAGGGTATGATATTTTATATTATGTGTTTCTGGCCCACTTAGAAACATTTGTGGGGGGAATAAATGAAGTTAGAAAGGGATATAGAGGAACAGTTTGTTATTCTTCACTTCCAAGGCATGTACTTTATTATTGTGTGCTATAGCAATCTTATTAAATAAATAAAATGTATCAGTTATCAATATTACTAGATAGGAGCTTGGAAAAGAAACTTTTGATGTACTCCAAACTTAAGTACCCTTCTTATGTCTTTAAAACAAGGAATAATGAACAAGGTGAATTATTTCAAATAAAATCTTACAGTTAGCTGTAGATGATTAAGTTAAATTTTTAATCAGACTTCTGTATTTTATGCTTATGAAGTGTCATACTATCTAAGCATTTAAAAATGTTTTTTCCATCTTCTAGGAAAATAAAACAGACTGAAATGTTTATGTAGTAAGGACCAGTATTAATGGTAGCATGGCCAACTTATTTAATGGTCATAATTTTTTAAATAAATAGATTTATATTGTGTTTATATTGTTTTGAGATAGACAAAAATTACAAAACAAAATCATTTTGATTACTATATTTTCTCAAAATAATTTGCCACAACATTCTGTACACTTTTGCATTTGTGAAAACACTCTTTCTACTCATTTTCTTCAAGTGCTATAAGCTCACTTTCATAGGCAGAAACAGCTTCTTCAGGGCTGTAGACCCTTCTTCCGCACATGTAGTTTTTTACTGTAGAGAACAGGAAATAATCACATGGGGCTAGGGCATGACTTTAAGTTGGACAAATCATAATTTTAACCTTTGTGGATTCTAGGAACTGGATGGTGATGTTGGCTGTGTGGGCAGACACTTATCACAGTGCAAGATGGTCCCCACAGTCTTGTCTTTGACTGCCATTCTTGAAGCTTCCCCCAAATTTTGGTAGCATACTATTATGTACCACTGAGCAGTAACAGTCCTTTCTTTCTCCAGAGGACTACTTGCAGTATAACCGTTTTTGGAGAAGAAAGTTGCTAATGTTTTCTTTCCAATACTTCAGGCCTTTTCACTTTTCTTGGTGGGTTTTCATCAGGAGAAAGAGTTCATGTTTATTCTCTCAATCAAATGGTTAAGTCCAGTTTTCATTACCAGTGATGATGTCAGAAATGTATCTAGACTTGCCTCTGTTGAATCTGAACAGCATGTCTTCACACCATTCAATACAGATGCACTTTTGCTCATCTGTCAAAGTGTAAGGTTAAGATGTAACTGTCCTGATTGGAAGATGATTGTGCAGGATTTTGGACACTGCCAATGATCCAATCTGTAGTTCCACTTCAGTGTCTTTAAACATCACTCAATTGTTTTTGCAAATTATTTGCATTTTTTCCTCAGTCAGCAATGTTATCCTCAGTCACTGCAGTTGCCAGATGCCCACTCATCTTTCAGTGAAGTTTGGCCTCTTCTAAATTCTTGAAACCACCAAAAAACTGTGCAGGAAGAAGGTCCCTGAAAGCCTGTTGCAAATGCCCAAGGCTTTTGAGACTCCTTTAAGCAACTTTTAAAATCATAGAAAATCATTACAAGAAAGTGCTCTCTTTCCAACTCCCTAGCTGATGCTGCCTCAGTGCCCTGCAGATAGAAACAAAAGAAACCCAACAGCACTGATAAGCCAAGCAAGTTGAAACTTACATGGGTGAATCAGAAAAGATGCCACTGTCAACTGTGTATTGCTTGGAAGTGAAATTAACGGACCATAACACAGTCTGTCTCAGAACTTTCCTAGTGACCTTCGTAGTAAAGTATGAATTTGGAATATAACTTTCTTAAAGATGAAGCTTAAGGAAAGTGTCCTTAGAAATATGTATGTTTTATGGGGAAAAGCAAGTTCAAAGTTAAAGTTTGAAGTATTAATTTCAATAAATATTACTTGAATTTCTCCTAGAATTGGTGATAGTCACATGACACCAGAACACATTGCTGAGCAGCATATTGTACTTGATGATTTATGTCTGATTCTAAGAAAGTCTGACCTGTACATTAAAGGGCTGCTGAAAGACATCCAGCCCTTAGCACAGCCTTGCTCGTTGAAAGACATTGTTCCACAGAAGTCAGTAAGTGAGAATTAAATTATTTCTTCTTCAGAGGCTAAATACTACAATTATAGCTATGTATTGTCAATTAGATTATAGAGTGTAAGCTCAAGGAACCAGTTATCTTAGTAAATATATTTTGCATAATAACCAGTTATCTCAGTAAATATATTTTGCATAGTAAGTTATTTGTGCCAGTAAGGAAAGAAATGAATTTTAACTTCCCCAACTGAAAATATTCTTAATGGGAGACTGAGATGAGTAAGCATATATAAACATAATGATAAGTGAAAAATCCAAGTAAACTAGTAACTTTGCAGTCTACTATATAAAGAGAAATAAGTTTAAAATATGATATGGTATGTATTTCCATACATTTCTTCTCTGTTTGCATGGCGCTTTGTTCATTAGTCTATTGATGGCCCATATTGCTTGTATTCTGTTTTGTATTTATGAATATCTGTTCCCCAGCAAGATTGAAAACTCCCAGGAGACAGGAATTATGTCTAGCGATATACTGTATGTTAAGTACTTCTATTCTTATGAAGTATATGAAAGCAAGAGTCTGTGTTTTGCTTATTGTATTCCCAGCATTTAGCAAATCACCTGCCACATAGGAGAAGCCATTCAAAAAATATTTGAAATAATGAATAAATGAATAAAGAAGTAAAAGGAAACAAAAATACTAACATTGGTGTTTTCCTCAATATGATGAGATTGTTATGTTTTTAGCTTTTTTATACTTTTTTGTATTTTCTATACTAAGCAGATTTTACATTTATAATCATAAAATCTTTAGAAAGCTATTTTATTTTTCATTTGTAAGGAATTTGTGCTTTTCATCCTTGAAATTTAGGTATAATACTCAAATGTTCAAAGATCAACTTAGAAGTTTTTTTTCCCAGTAGGTGAATATTTTTCTTATTTAAATAGCATGTACTTCATATATTGCTAGTAATGGAAGCAGATAAATTGATGATTGCAAATATTTTGATTTTATTATAGGCTTTATAAAATAACTTTCTGAATTTTCATAAAATGGAAACTTCATGTGCAATACTTTATTTCATTCCAAGCTCTTTATAATCTTCATATTAATATTCAAAAGTGAAACTAAATTCTATAGTAAAGTCTTGAGTAGCCCAAGTGATAGAGTGAGACCCCATCTCAAAAAGAAAACAAATAATAAAACCTTGAGAATATACTTATGTTATATATAAGTAACATCTGTTATTATATTTAACCCATATAAAAAACATTTTTTAACATCTGTGTAGTGCCTTAGCTCAAAGTTGCAGGCTTGGTACAGAGATAAATCTAGAACATTATTAACATTAGGGCTAATTATAATTCCTGATTACTGTGGAATTTTACAGAATGAAGGCTGGAAAGAGGAAGCTAAAGTGGAATTTTTGAAAATGGTAAATAACAAGGCTGTTTTAATGAAAGTTTTTAGAGAAGAAGATGGTGTGCTTATTGTAGATCTACAGAAACCACCAACAAATAAAATAAGCAGTGATATGCCTGTGTCTATTAGAGATGCATTAGTTTTTATGGAACTAGCAAGGTAAGTAACTTATTAAAACATAAATATTCTTTGAGGTTATAGCTATAAATAGGAACACCAGATTTTGCTTTTAAATACCATGGGTCTAGAGTAAACCTCAACATGCCCTAAGAAGTTAAAAATACTATCAGGGTTTTCTTTTTTTTTTCTTTTTGAGACAGCCTCAAGCTGTTGTCCTGGGTAGAGTGCCATGGCATTACATCTTACAGCAACCTCCAACCCAAGTAGCTGGGTCTACAGGTGCTCGCCACAACACCTGGCTATTTTTTGGTTGCAGTTGTCATTGTTGTCTGGTAGGCCCAGGCTGGATTTGAATCTGCCAGCTCTGGTGTATGTGGCTGGTACCTTAGCTGCTTGAGCTACAGGCGCTGAGCCAGGGTTTTCTAAGTACAATTGTTGTCTGTGAAAACTGCCTTTAGGTAATTTGGTTTAAGAATTGAGAAATTAAGGTAGCTCAGATAAAATACATGTGGATACTAAGTATTTTCTGTATTCTTGGTAACTGTGAGCAGCTTTACTAGGGTTTCAAAAATTATAGTTTAACTGTTTTTAACTTAAATTTTCTAGCCTTTGGAATGAGTTCATGATCACAACTCTATATTTAATGTATGAATCAAGAATAGATATTTAAAGTTTCTTTCTCCCTCATTTCTGATATCCTAAGTAACCTTAGATGTTGTGGAAAACCTTATCTATCTGTGCTCGGTGATTAGGTGACTTTGGAAGTGATCCAAGTAGACTCCATTCTAGAAAAGTGAAAGTAGAATCTTGAAACTGGAAGGGCTACAGACACCTCGTCTGGCCTTGCCAAGCAATACAACAGCTATTAATGTAACTGAAAGTTAGAGTAGAAGAGCAGCATTGAATTGAAATATGGCATTCAGGCCCAGCTCTAAAATGTCCTAACATAAATTGGAAGATTATTATGTTTAGAGCCTTGGCATCTTATTTAAGTCAATAATTGGTTCAATAATTATTTTGGTTCAATAATTGGAGACAATACCAAGGAATGTTATAAGAAAAGAGAAAGTGGAAAAGGAATAATTCTGAAAGTCAGTATATGTATAAGTCCTGTCTTCAGATCAAGTCACTGAGAAGAGAGACCTTAAGAAAATGGCTCTGACTCATGCTTTTTATTAGGTTTAGGTCACAATCACCAAGAAGTTACTTTGAAAAAAATACAGCTTTACATTACCATCCACCTATTTTGCCTGAAGAAACAACAGATGTTTCCGTTATGGTTTGTCATATAAACAGTCCTACAGATTTCTATCTTCAATTGGTAAGTAAATGTTTTTTGAAATGAAGTGGTTGGTTTTTATTTGTTTTTTAATTTTAGTTAGAAATGTGTAACAGGGATGGGTGCCTACTGTGAGTTTTAGTTAGCGCAAACAAAGCCCTGTTCGTCTTCCACACAGGCAGTCCCCAAGTTACAAACATTTAATATATGTACAGATTACACTTAAAAACAGAGGTTTTTTTTTTTTTTTTTGAGACAGAGCCTCAAGCTTTCCCCCTGGGTAGAGTGCCATGGCATTACAGCTCACAGCAACCTCCAACTCCTGGGCTCAAGCGAGTCTCCTGCCTCTGCCTCCCAAGTAGCTGGGACCACAGGCGCCCGCCACAACGCCCGGCTATTTTTTGGTTGCAGCCGTCATTGTTGTTTGGCGGGTCCGGGCTGGGGATCCGAACCCGCCACCTTAGGTGTACGTGGCTGGCGCCTTAGCCGGTTGAGCTATAGGCGCCGAGCCAAAAACAGAGGTTATTATAGTAAGTCTTAGAGTTAACAAGCATCTGACTGACATACAACTCACATAGAGGCTATTACACATAAATGCAACTTGAGAACAGGTATCAGACCTATTTCCTTCATAACCCAGGACTATCTACATTTAACTTAATAGCTGTAACTTTAAACAAGATGTTCAGGATTCATTATAAATTGAGAGAATGATGCAAGATACCTAATGTATGTTTCTTACTACCTCCTAAAGTCTAGAAACTAGGAAAGCACATAGAACTACCAAATCAAATATAATCACAAACCTTTTTCTGACCATGTACATCTGAGAATTTACTAATTATTCCTAGGTAGTTTTCTGAATTTAAACACCAAAATAACAGGAAATGCCTGGAGTTCGAAGGCATTTCCTATTAAACTTTCTATATGTGACTGGTGTTTGTTTAAATAGCTAGTGATAAAGTTCATCCGTATTGGCCTTGCAGTTCTTTTTAAAAATACTTTTTAATTTTTTATTTCAGAATATCATGGGGGCACAAATGGTTGCATGAATTGCTTTTATATAGTTTGAGTCAAAATTATAAATATGCCCCTTTAGAATTGCACTTGTTGGAGTGAATTTATGACTCTCCCACTGCTTCCCACCTGAAAAGTTTGGGCCAAAAATGTGGGTGCACCTTATAATGTCAAAATATAGTATTCCTTAATAGTCTTAACTTTGCAAACATTCATTCCTTGATTTAACCCATTACTACTATGAAATAATTTCTGCAGTGTGGGTTAACAGCTCTTCTTTGTAGGTCTGGTAAAATTCAGCTATGAAACCATCTAGTCCAGGACTATTTTTCATTGGAGTTTTTTTTAATTGCTGCTTCAATTTCATTACTTGATAATGGTCTGTTTAGGAGTTCTGTTTCTTCCTGATTGAGGCTAGGGATATTGTGTGTTTCCAAGAATTTGTCTACTTCAACATTTTTCCAGTTTAAGTGCAAAGAGATTTTTATAGTATTCAAAGATAATGTTTTATATTTCTGTGGTATCAGTTGTAATATCTCCTTTTAAACTTCTGATTGAGCTTATTTGGGTTCATTTTCTGTTTTTTGTTAATCTAACAAAAGGTCTGTAAATTTTGTTTATCTTTTCAAAGAACCAAGTTTTAGTTTTATCAATTTTCTGTATAATTCTTTTTTTATTGATTTATTTTAGTTCTGCTCTGACCTTAGTTATTATCTTTTCTTCTGATGAGTTTGGGATTGATTTGTTCTTCATTTTCTAATTTATTGAAATTATTCATTAGATTGTTGATTTGCAGTCTTTCTGGATCTTTTTGATATATGCATTTAAGGCTATGAATTTTCCTGTTAGTATAGCTTTTTCTGGATCCTCCTTTGTCATTTAGTTCAAAGAATCTTATGATTTCTATCTAAATTTCCTTCTTGACTCAATAATCATTCACCAGTTGTTTAATTTCCATGACATTGTGTGGAATTGAGTGTTTCTGTTGGAGTCGATTTCTAGTTTTATTCCACTGTGGTCTGAAAAGATACATGGTATAATTTCTTTTTTTGAATTGTTTGAGACATGTTTTGTGGCCTAAAATTTTTTTTTTTTTTTTTTGACACAGGGCCTCAAGCTGTTGCCCTGGGTAGAGTGCTGTGGCATCACAGCTCACAGCAACCTCTAACTCCTGGGCTCAAGCGATTCTCCTGACTCCACCTCCCAAGTAGCTGGGACTATAGGCATGCCATAAGACCCGGCTATTTTTTGGTTGCAGCCATCATTGTTGTTTGGCGGGCCCAGGCTTTGAACCTGCCAGCTCAGGTGTATATGGCTGGCACCTTAGCCACTTGAGCCACAGGCACCAAGCCCTAAGATGTTTCTTACTGTGCGCTGATGAGAAGAATATGTATATTCAGTAGTTTGAGGGTAGAATGTTTTGTAAATGTCTGTTAGGCCCATTTGCTCTAGTCTAGAGTCTTGTTTAAGTCCTGAGTTTGTTTATTTTCTGCTTGGAAGATCTGTCCAGTTCTGTCAGTGGTGTTGTGTTGCCGTAAGGGTCTCACGGAAAAGCGATGTCGCGAAGAATAAGCACACTTATTGAAATTGTGTTTTAAATAAAGGTGACCATCTGCTCGCTCAGGTAAAATGGTGAACTTCCTTTATTCACTGTTGGTTTATATAGGTAATCTTGTGCATGTGCTCTATACAGCAATGACCTCATTAATCCATTTGTTACAATCCCTCTGCACATGCGCATTGGACATCAGTGACTTCATTAATCCATTTAAACATCTTATGACCACCTGCCCTGTAAGTAGGTCCTCCCTGGTAATCTGATAATCCACCCAACATACACCTTTAAGCATAATCCTTTCAGTATAACCCGGTTTGACATAACTTAGTGAAGAACGTGTTGTCAGTTATTACTTTCTTTGTTCTTATCTGATGAAGCCTGAGGCTATGGGGAAAGAGATGATTTGAATGTCTTCTACTAACCATGCCATTTGGAGGCAGTTACTTCGAATCTTTAAGCAAAGCATAGAGAAACTTCTTGGGCATACAGGAATTTGTGTGCAAACCTCTGCTCCTATGTAGGCCTTAAGTCAGGGGGGGTTTTGCTGGAGCCTTTTATAAGGAATTCTTAGGCTGGACTTCTGAAAAGCCTTTCATGAGCCCAGGTTTCATCTGTGCCATTAGATACCTGTATGACATTACCATTCCCAAACCTGTCAGCAAGCGACCTTCATCACTTACCACAGATCAGGAAAGGTTACTGATAGGTATCTGGCCAGTTTTCCAAAGGGCTTTTTCATAGGCCTTATAAAGTCAACCTTAATTCCTTAACACAGTCTGGAAATGCTATTCCAGCCAAAGCCTTGGTCATGTTAGGCCCGCAACTAACCTGGCCACATGGGATTCTGCCTCAGTTTCTTACAAGTATGCCTGTACAAAGTCTTTTCACTGCTGTCTCTCAAACGGCTTTTTTGGCCAGAGGCATATAGGCATTTCGCCTATAGTGTTGAAGTCCCAAAGTATTATGATGTGGGTGTTTATCACTTTGGGTCCCCCCCCCCCCAGATAGAGTCTTACTCTGTCCCCCTGGATAGAGTGCTGTGGTGTCATCATAGCTCACAGCAACCTCAAACTCTTGGGCTTAAGAGATCTTCTTGCCTCAGACTCCTGAATAGCTGGGACCATAGGCACCCACCACAATGTCTGACTTTTTTTCTATTTTTAGTAGAGATGAGGTCCTGCTTTTGCTCAGGCTAGTCTGGAACTCATGAGCATAAGCAGTCCACATACCTCAGCCTCCCAGAGTGCTAGGATTACAGGCATGAGCCACCATGCCTGGCCTTACAACTTTGTTTAGATCTAGTAGGATCTGCTTTATAAATCTGGGTGCGCTTGTGTTAGGTGCATAAATATTTAGAATTGTTATGTCGTCTTCTTCTTCTTCTTTTTTTTTTTTTTTGAGACAGCCTCAAGCTTTCCCCCTGGGTAGAGTTCTGTGGCATCACAGCTCACAGCAACCTCCAACTCCTGGGCTCGAGTGAGTCTCCTGCCTCAGCCTCCCACGTAGCTGGGACCACAGGCACCCGCCACAACGCCAGGCAATTTTTTGGTTGCAGCCATCACTGTTGTTGGGTGGGTGTGGGCTGGATTTGAACCTGCCACCTTAGGTGTATGTGGCTGGCACCTTAGCCACTTGAGCCACAGGCGCCGAGCCATGTCTTCTTATTGAAATGTTCTCTTTACCATTACGTGATGACCATCTTTGCCTTTCTTTACTTTGGTTCTTTTGAAGTCTGTTATCTGATATGATAGTGGTACACCAGCTTTATTTTGGTTTGTATTTACATGTAGTATTGTTTCCCATCCCTTCACCTTGAGTCTGAATGAGTTCTTGTGGATTAGATGCATTTCCTGGAGACAGCAGGTACTTTGCTTATATTTTTTTAGCCATTCAAGTCAGCCTCTGTCTCTTGAGAGAAGAGTTCAAGCCATTCCCATTTATTGAAAGAATTGTCTCAGGATTTCCATTCATCCTGTCAAGTAGAACGTCACTGCTTTTTTTTTTTTTAACACCTCTCAAGCTCCCAAGCCATTGTGGTATCTTAACTATGAACTTTAGCATTTGGATGGTTTTACACTGGAGTCTGTTGTGCTCATTAGTGTAGAATGCAGATATGGTCTTGAAAGATTCCCTGAGGGTTTGCTTGTGTGAGAAAGTCTTTGTTTCTCCTCCGCGCCTGTGGCTCAAGTGGCTAAGGCACCAGCCACATACACCTAAGGTGGCGGGTTCAAATCCAGCCCAGGCCCGCCAAACAACAATGATGGCTGCAACCAAAAAAAAAAAAAAAGAAAGTCTTTATTTCTCCTTCATATAGGAAACTTAGTTTTGCAGGATATAAACTTGTCAGCAGGCTATTATTCTGTATGGGAAGACAGAATGGGGACCTAGTCCCTTTCACCTTGTGATGTCTCAATTGAGAAGTCTGCATTTAGTCTATTGGGTGTTTCTTTATAAGTTGCCTAATACT